TAAAGCGCATTTGTACATCGTTTCTCAAAACATTTTCTCTCCATTTAAACCCCCGACATTAGGTCCTCATTTTTCCCCTCCCTCCCCGCTCCCCCGTGGGGTTGCTCTGAGTTGAAATGGACTCCGTGGCACCTGACAACAACAGCAGCAACAATTGCCCTAAATAAAATGAAACTCATTATCTTCCCATGTCCCGTTCTCTGCATTTCCTACCTGGTTACCGCTACCATTATCTGCCTGGGCCAGCACCTGGAAGCTTGTTCCCTTGATGCTTCCTGCCACTGTGTCATCTTTGCAATGGCTCCATCCCCTTCCTTCTAGCTGCCAGTCCTACTTCCAGCTTGACTGTACAGCGAGCGGCGTTAGTACAATAACTGTCAGGCGGCCCCAGTGCTTTCTCTGCGGCTGTCCTGCTGGCCCTTCAGACAGCCCCTCACCATTGCTGGTTACCATTCTAAAACAACCCTCACCACCTCACTCCTGGGCAAACAAGCTTCTGTTAACGCTCAGTTGTCTGTGGGATAAGGATTGACGTTCTTGGTGTGGCATTTGAAGTCCTCCAGAGTTTGGGGTAATTCTAACTGGCCTGCTGCATGTCACGGCCCTACCAGCGCACCCGCCAAGGCTTCCGCACTTCACGGGCTTCCGTTCTTCCCCTCTCTGCTCACATTCCTCTGTGTGTCTGGGATGCTGGTCAGTGGTGGAGGGTGGACTCCAGCCTGAGCACTTTGTTTGGATTAGGTGGAGTGTGTGAAGGTTCTGTGGAGCTCAGAGCGAAGTCTTACAGTGTTCTTTCAGTTCTATCAGATGACTATGAGCCTGTAGTGATAAAAAGTATTCTTAGATGCTGTTTTTATGCTCCAGTCCGGTCTCGAGAGTCTTGGAGGCTTCGCTTTTGTCCCCTTGGACCTCCAGATTCTGCCTTGCCTTGGTTGTTGATGCCTCCTTATGGCAGGCAGGAGGGGAAGTGGGTTTCAGCCAGGGAGAGGGGACGAGACACTCTGCTATCAGAGGCGAGCAAATGCCAGCTGCTTTGTGGTTTGGTAAGGAGGAAATTCTGGAGAGGAAAGATGAAAAATGAAAAAAGGAAGGGAGACAGAGAACCTTGCCTTTTGAAATGAGACCATTGCATTAACATCTTGTATAATCCTTTTTTTTTTTTTAAGGCAGAACTCACAAAAGATGGGAATCTTTTTGTCATTTTTTGGTCATGATGAAACCTTTTGAGATTGACCACTTTTTATCATTTTTCAAAAAACATTGGATACTTGGATAGACTTTTCAGAAAGCTATCATTCAAATATTATCTCACATGCCTTTTTTTTTTACCCCCAGACAAAAGAAGCTAGAAAAAGTGATGGAAGAAGAAGGCTTAAAAGATGAAGAGGTAATTAAAATGGGCATTTCCACTATGGAAGCCCAGCTTGGCAGGACATACCTTGTCCAGCAAGTTGCTGGCATTGGTGCAAGGGGGACGGGGAGGGCTTTGGCTCTGTGTTAGTGTTAGCCGTGGACTGGCTCCCTACTGGACTTAGATCATCAGGCAGAAGGGGAAGGTGATTACTAACTACCCAGGAGCCGATGGCTTCTGGCAGAGTTATGGTAAGTTAATTTGATTTTAATTTTATGGAGAAACAAGCAAACAAGAAATGTGGTCCATGAAATCAAATTAAAATTTTAAAGAGAAAATTGTAGCATACTTCACAGACCTCACTGAAAAGACTTCATGAGATGTGGGGCTAACTTCTGAATGAAACTTCTGAATGCAGCAGCAAGGCAACTGAAGTCACCCTTCCCCCCAGTGCCTACTGGTGTGGTAGGAGAAAATAGAGTCACCAGGGGCTGGTGTGCAAGGACCTGAAGTGGCCCTGGTATCGTCTTCAAAAGTAGGTGTGGAAAACACATCCAGGCTTTGTAGGAAGACCATAAAATGAATGGTAATGTAATGAATCCTAGGGAAATAGAAAACCATGCTTTATTTTATACAGAAAAAGATAGGGAAACTCTTTTGTACCATCCCTCTGTAGAAATGGATGGCTGCAGTAGGTTAGAATCTTCAGAGGAGACCACATGTATTCAGGCTGGGTTTTTGCACCTGAAGGCTAAGGGAGCGCCCTGTGACTTTGTCAGGGCTCTTCTGTGGTGCAAGGATTATGCCTAATCTAGCATGACCTTGCATTTCAGCTGGGGCAAATCACAAGTAGAACTTTGTTGTAGAGTTTCAGAATTTCACCTCCTCTTTGTCTCCTCCTCCTTTAACCTCGTAGAAACGACTTAGGCGGTCAGCACATGCTCGGAAGGAAACAGAGTTTCTTCGTTTGAAGAGAACGCGACTTGGACTGGAAGATTTTGAGTCCTTAAAAGTAATAGGCAGAGGAGCGTTTGGTGAGGTAAGAACCAGGACAGTTGTTTATGAATGTGAGAACACTTCTGACATGCCAGGAGCTCATGTTGTCGGTAGAGGTAAAGAAAGGTACAGGGGTCAGGTGGGGCACATCTTGACGGCTCCTCGGCCCTCCTTTTCTCCTTCCCCTTTCCACTGCCCCAGGTTGCGAGATGATGTTGGTGCTTTTAAGTCTTCGTTTAGAGGGAGGGCTAAAAATTAGATGAAAACCAGCCCTTATTATTCACGGAGCACCTGCCTCTCCTATAATCCTGGCCACACTCCATTTCATAGATGATGAAATCAAGGCCCAGAGGGGCTACACAGTGCTCCACTGTCACACAGCCATTCAGCAGTGAGACCAGGAGTTGGGCCCAGGTCTTCCTGCTTTTCCAGTACCGCACTGCCTCTCCGTGGACACACCAGTAGTATAGCCCCACCCTTTGTTTCTTCTCACCACATGTGGCCCTGGGAGACAGGATTTACAGAAAGGAATTGGGAAGCTGGTGCTAGAGACTTGAAGGCATTTGCAGCTTTAGCTGAGCTAGTCATGAAAACGCATCTTGCTTGGACCCCAGGGCAATTTGTTAGGGAGGGTTTGAATGAGCCCACTGTGCATGCTCAGTCCCCATCAAGGGAAGACATCACCGTGAAGGCACCACAACGGATGTAATAGTTGCATTCTCTGTATAAAAGGAGCTGCATAAGATTAAAAACCAGGACTTGGGGGAAGTGTGAGTAGACAGGTGATGGATTAAATTGGTCCCGGGTTCAGAATCCCTAGGGTGGCTCCTTGAGAGAGGGAAGGAGCGGCCCCACCTGTCAGAGAGCGTTGTGTGCCCCTTCTGTGGAGGAGGGACACCGTGGGCAAAGGCTGTGCTGGGAGAAGAACAGCTGCATGTTACTGGAGAGGGGCTTCCATCGAACATCATCAGTCTTCTTTTTAAAAATCGGAAACAAAAAAACAAGGAAGAAAATAGCACATTCCAAATAATACCTTATGCACTGTACATGCTGCCTTTCCCTCGTTACACGGTTTTAGGGTTCTTTTTTTATTCCAGGCATTTTTCTTACGTGAAAGCTTTTGCTTTTGTTTGAAACAACGACGACGAGGTGATAATCATTTACTTGAGCTTTCTGAGCTGGTGGAATGAGTGCAACAGGGGTTTAATGAATGTGTACTTTCGGACTGAAGATTTTTAATTAGATTAGTTTTTTTGAAATCGGGAGCCAGAACTGTTGTGATGTGGAACTGTGACTGATGTTTGTAGCACTGACTTTACTGTGTGGAAAGCATTCCTTTTGGAGCACTGAAGGCTTTTTTTTTTTTTTTTTACTTTCCCTGTTTGATTACTGCTAGTTGCTTAGTTGAACATTGTTGTCACGTTTTCTCAGTTTAAATTTCACTTGCTGTGACACATGAAAGCACGTTTCGTTTCTTAGGTGCGGCTTGTTCAGAAGAAGGATACGGGGCATGTGTATGCCATGAAGATACTCCGTAAAGCAGACATGCTTGAGAAAGAGCAGGTAAAGAGCCTGGCTCGAGGCAGTACTTTCACTCAAGTTAAGATTTGTTTTTGTCTATTAAAGCCATTCTTGTTGCTTAATTGAAATTTACAGTCTTATTAATTTTCTTTAGTTCTGTTAGAGATGAGATGGTACATACATGACTACTCCAGGTTTCTTTTTCTCCCAATCAAGAAGCAATTCAATCTATTTTAAAAGTTCAGGTAATACTCGTGTTTTTTTAAGTTGACTGCCTCTTGGAGAAGCGCCTGTTGTTGTTCTGGCCGCTTGGTCTGAGGTCATACTTGCTGCGGCAGCACGTTCCTTAAGGAATGTAAGCGAGACATCAGGATTGGAGCTGAGGAATTCAAATTTTGGACTTGCCCAGGAATGTGTTTGATCCTCTGCACCAGGCCACAGTTGGGCTTCCCAGGCAGCTCAGTCTTCCAGTTTTGGAATGAACTTGAAAAGATAGAATGCCAGTGTTTGAGCAGTGCAAATTCTCCTTTAATGATCAAATAATTAAAAGACTTGCTTTCTAAGCCCCAAGCCCACTTTACACATAGATTTATGAGAGACATCTTAAAAGATTGGACTGTATATTAAAGACAAGTGTCCATCTCACCTCATGTGGCCAGGCTGCTAAAGAAGAGGCTGCAGGTGTCCAGGAGAAGGTTAGTTAGGTAGTGTGAGAGGACAAAGAGAAACACCCTGGCCAGGAGAGCACCCGGTGCAGAGCCCAAGATGAGGGTGGCGACTGGCCCCAGCCCCAGACTGACTCTGCTTCTAGAGAGGAAGGAGAGCAGTCGCTGGGGCTCCTCTGCCTTTATTTGTATGCCACCTCACAATAGGGCCGTGTCATTCTCGCTCGTTTTCACGGCGGCCCAGAAGCTGGGGACTGCCAAGAATTGTGGTTTAGAGGCCAAGAGAGCTCAGCAGTAACTCTCCCGGCACTCTTGCTATGCCAGCGCCAAGCTGACTCAAGCTGCACAGCAGCCGGAAACCATAGTGTGGGGTGAGCGTGTAGTGTCTGAAAGGGTTTCAGGTCATCTGACAAGGAAAGTATGCAGCTTCTGTATTGACTACTCAGGGTATTTGCATCCCAAAGTTTGATTTTTACCATGTATTTCTTACAACTTTTAACCAAGACTCAAAACTCCTCTCAGCTAAATAATTAGCATGCAGAATACAGCTGACAAGAAGCCCACGACATGATTTTAACAGAATTATCTAACCTCTATATATCCCACACCTGGTGCCCAGCATGGTTACAGAGAGGGTAATCCCAACCTACTGTGTGAAACCACTTTCTTAAATATTGTGCCTGCCCCCAAAGCCATTTCTTGAAAGGAAAGGAAAGGAACTGTCTGCTACAGTTAGGATTTTACAGGACGCGCTGACTGGATTGCATAGCTCACTTTGCTAATGGGCCCACATCATAAGTTTGATCTTAGCATGACCTGTGTCAGCCACCTTGAAGAAGCATGCAGTCAGTGGCTTTATGTTAGGTGGGAATTGGATGTACCAGTACAAATCCAGTCTTGTTTTTGGATGAAGGTGGCCAAGTTTAGATTCAGAGATACTAAGATTTTATAGATGCTTTATTCAGAGGCGGGCTGGTTATGTTGGACTGTTAATCTCAAGGACAAAAGTTCAAACTCACCAGCTACTCCTTGGGGAAAGATGAGGCATTCTACTCCCATAAAGACTTATGGTCTTAGTTCATTCCTGGGTTTTGGCACACACACTCAAAAAACCACAACAAAAAACAGACCTAGTCTTTGAAACCCACAGGGCAGTTCTACTCTGACCTCTAGGGTTGCCAAGGGTCAGAGTTGACTTGATGCCAGTGAGTTGTTTTTTGTTTTTGTTTTTGAGGGTTTTCTCTTTTTTTTTTATTCCAGAGGAAAGGTGGTTTATGTTACTGTTGTTTATTGGCTGTTTTTATTAAACGGAGCAGGAATTAAAACTGCCCACTGGCAATACAGGATACTGTTCTGTCCTGTGGGGAGGATACTTCTGCTACTTAGAAAATAAAATGTTAAAAGACAAGCATTTAGCCAGTTTTTAAAATAATTTCTCTACCAGTGCATTAACCTCCGGTTAATGATGTCAGTATAGTTTTCTGGTGGAAGAAAGATGTTTTATTTCTATTTTCCTGATGCCCAAGTAGGAAGAGGCATGTCATTCCTGCCTCATTAGCTCCTGAAGGCACAGGGGAGAGGGAACCTTTGGTGTGAACCTCTAGTTCATTGGTTCCCAAACGTACAGGCCTACAATCCCCTTTTTTTGCCCTCTCTGGAAATGACAGACTTTTCTACGATAGCCCATCATCTAGGATAAGAGTCAGTATCTGCCCCTTCTGGATCGGTCCAGTGCTCCGCAGGGGGTGATAGCCCTCACTTCGGGAAACAGTGCCCTAATTCCTCCCTCCCTCATTCTGTATTCAACGACTCTATTCCTAGATCCCAAGCTTCCTAGCTGCTATTTCACCCCCAGGAGAGGAGGGCATGGTGGGCTTAACAGGGACAGTATCATCCCCATTAATAACTACTGAGTGGAGGAACCTCCATTCCATCCTCCAGTGAGAATGATAAGCGGCATTCATACTGTTGCCTCTTCAGCTTGAGGGAGCTAGGGGAAACCAGCCTGAAGGCCAGCCCTTGACACCAGTGGTGCCTGGGTCAAGGCCAAGGCTGCTGTCCGGCCAGCAGCAGCGGCTCCCCAGTGTTTCCCAAGGCATTCCTTCTCCCTGAAGAGCGCAGCAGCATCTGCCTCCTGGTGGTTTCATGACGCTTCTCTGCCATTCCCCACCATCAATACGTAGAGAGAGGAAAATGTAAGCTCCCAGTAATATTGAAGCTATTTTTAACAACCCACTCTCACCTCGCTCCCGTACTCAAATGCTTCCAGCCCCTGGGCTGGCATTACAGAGAAAGGCAGATTAGGTGTAAGACAGGAGAGACGGGTGGAGTCCTTGTCCAAACAGAAAGACCTGCCCCTTTGGGCGATAAAACACACAGAACATTGTGTCAAATGGAGCAGAACCGTGGGCTGAATTTGCCAGCAGAAGTGCCTACTTGTGAACTGTGGTGCGTCTTTTACCTCAGAATATACTATGCAACTCACCACCTGTGGCACACGTTGAGATCAAAACCTCTGTGCCAGGCTTGGACTGGGCCTTATTAAATTCTGACCCCATTCAACTGTGTGACACTTAAAAAAAGGGGGTGCGGTGGGGTAGGAGGTAGGATTTAATAATAGGTGGCAATGTTTTGATGATTGCTTATTTAAAGTAAACGTGGTAAATTTGGTTAGACAACGTGGTCTTATTATGCATTTTAACTTTTAATTAAGTAGTTCTGTTTTCTCCAGATCTTCTAAAACTTGATTCTCTGATCTAAAAACTTCAGTAAAGGTTTTGTGCCAAAACTTTTCCTCGGTGCTCGCGTATTTGTTGCTTGAGCACATGCTCAGGACAGCAGTGAGCTAATGCTGTGACGTCATAGCCGTCTTTCAAGACTTGTCACCTCGTCACTAGCATTGCAGCTGTCGTTGCTGACCTGGCCAGGACTTGCTCAGAGAATGTTTTTGAGAACTTTGCATCATCAAAGTTGACTATAATAAAAATACATGAAAAGATGTAAAAACACATTTTAACTGACCAGACGTTCAATTTATAGCACTGTTAAAGTTGCCATGTACATTAAAGCCATTCCTTTTGCCTTTTTTTTGGTCTTTCATCATTTGCATTTTCATCACCAAAGTCAAATGTTTTCAGTTTGAAGTTAGTAGGTTTGCCTAAGTAGAAACTAGCTCTCTTTTGTATCTTCACAGTTTAATACTCAGAGTGCTTAAATTGTTGACACAAATATACAGTCTGATAAAGCAGAGCACGGCTTGTCATTAATCAAATGCATGTACCTCCAGGTCGGCCACATTCGTGCGGAGCGTGACATTCTAGTGGAGGCAGACAGTTTGTGGGTTGTGAAAATGTTCTATAGTTTTCAGGATAAGCTAAACCTCTACCTAATCATGGAGTTCCTGCCTGGAGGTAATTACTGGATGATGAAAGGTCATTTTTCCCCCTTCTTGTTCTGTGGTTTCTCTCTCACATCAACAATTAACCCTCCTTTCTTTCTACTTTTCATTGTGCTCACAAAGCTGCTTTCTATCTCTTTTCTAGGTCTGTCAAGGAGGTCAGTGGCCTGTCTTGTGCTGGGCGCCTTTCTGTAGTCTTAGTGCCATAAACGTGACCTCTCCTCCACTCTCATTCAGATGGACATTCCTTTTTGTTTTCTTTCTTTCTTTTTTAAATCATGTAGGAATAAACGAGGAGGCTGTTGCTCTCCTGTTAATGGAAATCGTACTTATTGAGTCACCCAAGTGACACAATGGAAATGCCGAGTATTCTCTGCTTCAACCTCTTGTTTTTCTGTAGCCTATATTAATAAGGAACAGATTTCTCATTACCCAGATGAGTAGCCACCATCAGTTTCACATTTCTGAGATGGCAAGTGTTCGAACTCAGCTTGAGCATCTCCTGCAGAACTCCACAGTCAGCCCAGACGTCCTGTACCATCTGTTCTGGAGAACACAGTCTATTTCCCAGTGAGCAGTTGAGGTTTGAGCAAACCCTGGTGTGGGGAGGGGAAGAAAAAAACAAAAACAATTATTTTCCTTTTCTGGTTCTAAAACAAAACAAATATACTTGTGGCACAATATTTTGACCTTATGAAAACCTCAGCTTAGGTTTAGGGTCATAAATAATTTTTTATTAACAATTGATGAAGGTTAGAAAAGAGTCTGGCTGGTGGAATGAGGAGAAACCTTGAACATTTACGTGCCAGTTTTTAAATAGGAGAACGAGCCAGATGGGTTACCAGCACCTGGACATGCGTCTCCTCAGGCCTTACCTGTACCGTCTTCTCTAGCTTGCTCTCATGTCTTCTGGACCCCGCCCTTTGCACTCGGTGGAGCTGGCCTGCACAGCCAAAGACCAGTTGGCTTGAGCTCTCTGATCATCTGGGCATGCTCACAGGTGAGGCCATTGGGCCAGGGAGCTGAGGCCATACAGCTCCTTAGAGCTGGTGGGCGCACACCAACCCCAAGCCCTGCTGTGCCCCCAGATTGAATGTACGACTTCCAGGAGTGATTAGGGAATGATATTTTTTAAGTCTTGTGGGGGGAAAAGAATGCATTTAATGACTCATTTAATTTTCCCCCTGAGGGAAAATACCTGCTTTTCTCAAAGAATACAAAAATCCCCCAAAGTTATAGATGAAATGAAGTTCAAAAAGGAGTATATTGCTCTGTTACAATCTGAAGTTACTATCTCTTCTTGTTCACTAACATAGGCAACTTTATGCTTTCTATTAAAGTCTAAACTGTGAATTTTCCCCGTTCTCTTAGCTTTAATCTACTTGTATGAGGATAAGTCAGAAAGTTCTGCTACTTAGGTTCCAGTTCATTTGTGCATAGGTTCACTCAAAGCGAAACACGTTTAGGCATGGCTGCAACCGGTGAAGGGGTGCAGGCAAGTTCTCTCAGTAGTACACGTGTCTTAGTCTTGTTGGGGTGCCATCAGAGAATGGCTTCTGAGGGAATATGCTAGCTCAGTTCAGTTCAAGGTCGAGATGTCTGCTCATAAGGCAATGCTGACCATTTCATGGGATCCCAAAGGGGTGATTTTGGTAGATTTTCTCGAAGAACACGGGGTGATCACGGGGCTTACTGTGAAAAAGTTTTCTAAAAAAAAAAGAAGTTTTCAGAAAACAGAACTGCACTGATGAGAGAAAAGCCTAGAGCAGTTGCAGCGAGACATTTTTTATTGTGACATTGTACCCACTCATTCTTCAAAGGTTAACTGGGACAGTTTTGCTGGGGAGCCTTACCTATTCCACCCAATTGTCCTGAATTTGGCCCTTCAGACCTCTTTTCATCCCAAACTCAAAGAGCCTTGAAAAAGAAGATGACCGGAGCCCCTCCCGGGGGCACGCACTGCTGTTTGACATGGTGTAGACGGGGGAGCCCGGCGTCTTTGGGAAAGGCTTCGAGAGATGGGAACAGCGCCATTGCAAGTGTGTAGACCTAGATGGAGGGTGTGTTGAGAAACAATAGCTTCACATTTTGATAATTTTAAAAATTAGGTTTCTAAAATTTAGTAGCAATACTTTTTTTTACATATATATATATATATATGTTTGTTTCTTTCTGTTGAGTGGACCAGAATTTTTTTTGCCACTTTATGAGCTGATATTAAGCAGAAACAACTGAATTTTGACTTAGTAGAAAATTAAGGAGTTTTAACTTCTTAAAAAACTCCTAAATGGATACTGGGTTGTTAAAGTCACATAAAGCGTCTGGTGTCCCCTTAAATATCTCTAGTAGAACACTGGGGCGCTCTGCCACGGGCACTTTGGGGAGGCAGCAATCGCACATTCTTGTACGCAGTACCCTCAGTTCCCTTTCAGCTTTGTTGACTAACACTTTGTACTATGTCCTGACTTTTACTTGTTTGTGTTGTAGTGTTTTTAAAATACAAATTGAAGAACATGTTATCAGCAGCACATTTCCATTTTTGTGTGATCTTTTAATCTCTCCAACCATGGCAATGCAGTGTGTGTGGAAGTGCCATTTCGGGCTAGCCACGGGGAGAGAGTTTTATAGGTAGTTAGACGTACAAAGTGAAAAGTCAAGTAGTCTTCCCTCATTCCAAAGTATTCTCTCTCTCACGCGCCCACGCACGCACGCACGCTCATGATCCCTGTGTGAAGGAAATTTTCTTTTTCTCTCACAATTAAATGTTAAGTCCCAGCTCTGTGGTCAGTATTGGCCAGTGCAGGTGTGAGAAAGCACTTTGCTTTCCAAGGCTTGGATTTTCACCTGTCCAGTGTTAGAAACCACCTGCCATTTCCCCTTATATTGGCGGTGTAGCCATCTCTGGAACACAGCAGGGGCCAGTTTAGCTTTGTATTAATTTGGCAGGAAGGGGAGACGGATCTGGAAACTGGCACTTACGTGGTGTTTGTGGTGGCTTTTTATCTTCTGTTTCCAGGGGACATGATGACCTTATTGATGAAAAAAGACACTCTGACTGAAGAGGAAACTCAGTTTTATATAGCAGAAACAGTATTAGCCATAGACTCCATTCACCAGCTTGGATTCATCCACAGAGACATCAAACCAGACAATCTTCTCCTGGACAGCAAGGTATGCCTGGCGGGTAGTGGGGGAGACGTGTGTGTGTGTGTGTGTGTGTGTGTGTGCTGATTTGTGTGAAGGGTTCCCGAGCAGATCTTTAGCTTCCTCTTCAGTGTTTCATTGCACTCCCCCCGCGGGGTGTAACATCTCACTGCCTGCCATTGTTTCCTGGCTCTATTCCTCCTCCTTTCCTAACCCTTCTGAACTTTGTTCTTAAGTAAATGCTGTTCCCTTAATCCTAAATGGTCAATTATTCTAAGGTGTGTGCACTTCAGTAGTTTATTGTTTTCCTTATAGACCTATTGTTTGGCTGGAAATTGACCCACAGGGGTGAGTGTGGTCCCAGACTTGAAGGGTGACCAAGGGTCAGAGCCTTGAGAGTTCTACCAGTCTTTGGGAGACCAGCAAGCCTGGTCTCTTTCATGATTTTGCATTTTGTTCCACCTTTTTCAGCCCTCTCTATCCAGGGCCTCCTGGTATACTCCCTTTCATAGTAGTTGGTCGGGGTGGCTGATTGCCACCTAGTTCTTCCAGGGCCAAGAGTTCCATTCGTGCACTAGACTCATTGTTCCCGGGCCTCTTCCGATTTCATCACTCTTCTTGGCTGTGGGTGAGAGAGACCATTAGGTGCATCTTAGGAGACTGCTCCCAAGACCCTGGTTGCTATCCACCCAAAGTAAGATGTAGAACGTTGCCTTGGTGAACTGTAGTATGCTAATTGCACTGGGTGTCCTCGAGACTGTGGTGTCAGCCCCGAGCCCCAGCAACTCATTCCCTCAAGGTGTTTCATGACGTCCAAGAGATTTTCATACCTTTGTTGCATGTATGTTCGTCACATTCATGGGTATACTGTATATACTCGTGAATAAGCTGAGTTTTCCAGCACATTTTTAATGCAGTTTTTGTGGTGTAATTAGGTGCCTCGGCTGATATTCAGGTCGGCTTCTACTCAAGTCTGTACAGTAGTTGCAGCAAAGGTTGATAGCCATGTAAATATCCTTTGTCAAACATATGCTTGTGGGTACTATCCCACTCTCCCTTCCACACTCATTCAGGCTGTGGGTCTGTCCAGGCCTCTGTGCATAGATCACCATTATCACAGGATATGGATATAACAGTATTTACATCTGTTGCCTTTAACTCTTGAACCCCTTTCAATATTTTCTTCTGCTTCTACTATTTTGTGGTCACTTTTCCTTTTATTGTATATTAATTTCTCTTCCACTTACATTCGTGAAACGTACTTGACTTCCTCTGCATCTGGAAGTTCTGTTTTTACACTTTTCCCTTTTGTTACTTTGCAGTTGTCGTCATTATAAGTTGATATCTCTAGTCCCTTATTTGCAACCCTGTAGGTTTGTTTTAATTTGTGTACCGATATAGCTGGGTTTTCTTATGGGTAATGGTGTTCTGTGTGTTAGCTTCAGGGGGTTGTCGTCGTTGAGTCTCGTCTGAAAAACTGCCTGTAGTATAGTATTGTAAGATTGGTCCAGATTTTATATTAGATTTATCTGGAAATGCCCTGATTTTACCATTGTAGTTGTCAGACAATTTTTTCTAGATGTATGTTGGCAGTTATTTTTCTTTCAGAGTTTTATGTTTGTCCTCCCATTGCCATCTTGCCTGCTTGGTTTCTGCTGAAAAGTCAGAGCTTAGCCTTATTCGTTCTCTTAAGTGGGTGACTTTTCATCTTTCCTGAGCAGCTCTCAGGATTCTTTCCATGTCTTTGGTTTTGGAAAGTTTAATTAAAATACATCTTGGTGATTGTTTTTTTCTTGCCAGGGGTGGGGGGTGGGGGTTCTCTTCTGTTTTAGATTTGTTCAGCTTCCTGTCTTTTATGATGTTAGGGAAGTTTTCTTAAAACAACTCTTTGATAATTTTCTCTATGCTAGCCCCCCCACCTTCCTGTTCTGAAATTCCCGTCGCACATAAGTTATTCCTGTTGATTGTTCATGGGCTTTTTTGCCCCCCACCCCCTTCTTTTTTCTGGATTTTTTCCTTTGGCAAATTAGTATTGAGAAATTTGTCTTTAAGCTCACTAGGTCAGCCTTCCATTGACTTGCCTTTACTCCTTTGCCTATCTGTGTGCTATCTATCTGAAATCTCAATATTTTGGATTTCTTTTTGCTGTTTTTGTATTGTTTCTAATTTTTCATTAACTTTTTAAATATCTGTCCTTGTGGTGCTCTCATGAATTCTCCTGAAGATTTTCCGAGTTTTCCTTCATTTTGCGTATAGTTTTCTTGATCTTTCTTCGAATCTGATAAAAGATCCTAAATGCCTTAAAAAAAATTTCCTTATCAGGTAGTTCCAGTGCCAGTTCTCCTCTGAAAGGTCTCTCACTCTGTGTTTTGGCCACTGGTTTGAATCGCTCTGTCTTGTGTCTTTTTGTGAACAGAAATTATCTTTTGTCTGTGAGATATGGTGCTAGTGCTGTGTTTGTATTTCATTGACGATTGTATGTTGGAGTGTTCTTTTGAACTTATAACCTGTCTCCTGGGGAGTGCGTATGCACAGAACGCTGTTTGTTGTTGTGTAGTACAATTGACTGGTGTTGGCTGCTGTCTATCCATAATCAGATGTCCTAGAAGTGGGTAGTGGCCCTTGCCCAGGAAGTAGAGCTGCTGGTGGTTTGGATGTGGCTAGGCCATGCGGGCACAGTTTATGTCCTTTGAAACAAGAAAGATAAAAACAAACAATAGCAGTAAAAGAAAAGGGAAGAAGGAGCGGGAGGGGAAAACAGACAAACAAAAGCAAGAAAAAGAAATAGCAAAAACAGAAGTTAAAAATAAAAGAAGAGAAAGAAAAAATATAATAAGCAAAACTGGTGGAGGGAAAACAAAAAGAAAAGGGAGGAGGAAAAGAAAAGAGAAACAGAAGAAATTAAAAGAAAGCAGAGAAAGAAAAGGTAAAATACAAGGTACCATAAATGGGAAACAAACAAAGGAGAACAGTAGGAACAGGGCACTCAGTATGGTTGGTACCTTCTAGCAGCCAACATGCCCACAGGGTGAGGCGGGGAAGCGGGGGACCACCTGGTCCTTGGTGGAATCCCTGCGGTCCAGATGTTGTTGGGGTCAGGGCACCTAATCTGGAAGTGGTCTGTACTAGCTCAGATGGTGGTTGAAGTCAAGGTACTTTCTCCTAGAAGGAACTCCTTTGGGCTCACAGGGTAGTTGGGAGCAGGCAGCTGGTTATGGAAGTGTTTGCTCATCCAGGGGTGCCCCAGCATCTGGCCCTTCATGTTTTGCTGGTGTGCTGAGGTGATGTCCCTGGGCCTCCAGACATGGGGCAGGACAGGGTCAGGGTGTTATGGATTGCTGGGTGGAAGATCCTCCTTTTCTTGTCTCCAATCACCAGTGTGGGTGTGTGTTGTCAGGCCCCTGTCTTGATCGCCTCTGTCTGCAGAAGCTTGAGATGACCACGGTGCCTCAGACCGGTCGGCAGTTCACCCAGCTGACTTCTCGTTCCCCGCTTTGGTCCAGCTGCTTCCCTTGGTTTTCAGTCCATTCTCTACCTTTTCCTCTGAAGTTGGGGTTCCAGGAGGGTCATTCCTCCACATCTGTTTCATCTGGTTTCTTGTTTCTTAGTTGTAGATGGTCTGGGTAGCTTGCCTGCTTAGTTCTCCATCTTGCTGGAAGTTATTTTGGGGGCTACAAGTCCAAATTCAGCGTGAACTGAGCAACCTTTGCTTTAACCTGTGCCCCTAGGGCCCTCACAGGAGGGGAGCTGTGAGCTGCTCATGTGTTTTTACTCCTTTCTCCGGAAGGCTTGAATGATAGATACAATGCGATTCAATGATTTGATTGGACATTCCTCTGAAAAAGTATATTCTTGTAAGCGATCAAGAGCAAATTTGATAGAGGGTTGTTTTGTAACCAACCAAAGATAGTCATTCTCTCTTAGCACATAATTAACTATCCTCATGTAGCACTTATGAGAAATCCCTCTCTTGGGCCACTGCATCAGTTAATGACGAACCCAATCAAGAGCCAGGCAGTAAGGCAAAAAAAAAAATAAAAAAAAATATATATATATATATACACACACACACACATACAAATGTGCTCATAGCAAATTAGAAGAGCATTCCTGTGCTGCAAACTAAATGCTGGATAAGCCTAGACAGATCTCTTCACCTGTGTGGACTGACCTAGTCTTACCCATAATATGAATATATTTATCCATCATCCTCAGAGTCCCTTCTACCTCTAAAATTTTATAATGTCCTGTAATGCACAATTGTTGTCTAACTGGATTTTTCTTTCTTGCTGTGTTTGGATAACCATTATAAATTACTTCAATTCTTTTGCCTTCTTTCCTTGAAAATATATTTTTGTTTCAAGAGGACAGGAGACTTGCTTCTGGTTGTGTGAATAATGCATACACAGAGAGAATTTGAACAAAATACATGGATGTAAAGAATTGCTACTTTTAAAAACCTAATGCTATCTAAAAGCTTTTCTGTCCATGAAGTCCCAATATATTTTGCTTTTTGTACTTAGTAAAGCAGTAGCTCTATTTTCTGTGGTCTTGAGTTTATTACCCCTGTAGTCTGTTGTAGTATTAAATTAAAAAAAATAACGCTGAGGGAGGTGGGGGGACCGGCCCCCACTGTTAATACTACTATTGCTACTACTCAGATTCAGTAATACTACTTCTGGGTTCAGTAATGCACAATTGTACGGTTGAGATATATAAGTATTATATTAAAGTCATCGAGAGCATGAGAGATAATACAATAATACAGTCAGGCATGATACATAGCAACATTGCTCACCTCAGCCCAGCTTGGTGGTCCACGTGGAGAGAGGGGGAAGGGAAGAAGGGAAAGGGAACAAGGGAGAGGGGGAAGAGTCAGGGAGGTCAGAGTCCGAGAGAGAAGTTCGAGCCTATCTTGCTGACCCATGTCTATATACCTTTTGGGGGCAAGCCAGCCCACTAATTACAGGTAGAGACATAAGTCACAGGGAGGGGTTGCACTATAGGCTACACAGCAATGAGAGGGTGGTCTAGGGGGTGGTCTCTGGGTCTCCATAGGAACATTATCAGTAGGGTGTAAACCCCTCCTACAGGAACCAAGCTAATGCATTGCCTTAGGCTCCAGAGAGAGGTAGTCTATTATCTCCAGCAGCAGGGAGCAGGCCCAGCCCTGCTGTGGGATGAGACAGCAGTCTGGCAGCAAGTATCTGACTTCCCCCCACAGTCTGTGTCCTAAGGAGGCCTGGTGGCATAGTGGTTATGTGTTGGGCTGCTATCCCTGAGGTCGGCACTTCTGCACCACCGCCCTCTGTGAGAGAAAGAGGAGGCTTTCTACTTCATGAAAATTTAGTCCCAGAAGCCCAGAGGGCAGTAGTGTCTGTGCTGTAGTGTCACTAGTCGGAGCGGACTTGGCGGCAGTGAGTTTCCTTTCAGGAGTCTGTGTTCCAGCCCAGTGAAAACACTGCAAGCGCAGTACTTGGGTCCTCTGCACAGCTGAGGTGGCGGCGGGAGGCCCTGTTCACTGTGCTAGCTCAGACTTGTTGTAAATGTGGACAGGCATGTCGGAGTGAAAATGACGAAGTGTGGAGTTAAGGCGCCTACTCAGATGGCTGCAGAATTCCATGGCAATCTGGACTTTGCTCTAGGGCAGCAGTTCACCCTGTGGGTCACCACCCCTTTGGGGGTCAAACAGCTCTTTCACAAGGGTCACCCGATTCATAACAGTAGCAAACTGACAGTGCTGAAGTAGCAACAAACATAGTTGTATAGTTGGGAGTCACCACCACATGAGGACCTGTGTGAAAGGGTCGTGGCACGAGGCAGGTTGAGAACCACTGCTCTAGGGGCTGCTTTAAGACAGACTCTTTTCTTAGAGGCGTCCTGGTAAAGCATGTGGTCATGAGACGTGCACATGAAGCTTCAGTCCTTGGCTTGTAGATGAAGTTATTTGCACAGCTGAAGAAAAGATACCAAGTTAGAACCTGTTGTCCTATGATAGTTTTCCTTGCTACAGACACGTCTGTGTGCACACACACATAGTGGGATTTCTTTCAAAACAAACCAATACTTAGCCCATCTGAGCAGGGCTCCTGTACTCTGGGGGAGTTTGTCTGCGAAGCCTGAGGATTTCTGAAGAAGGCAGTGTGTGTATGGTCTCATAGAAAGACTGGGCTGAACGTCGACCAGTTCTTTTTAGTATAGTGATTGTGTGTATTCCTTCCATATTTTATTGTGCTCCCTGCATTGTTCAATAGTTTGCTCATAAAAATCCTTCAATATTACAGCTCATGCTTGGATTTTTGCTTTTCTTCATTTCGTTCAGCTTGAATGATGTTGAAAGTGTGTTTCCTTTTTGGTTCGCTTCCTTTGGGCCTTCCACATCCAGGTCTTTACTCATTTCATTACAATATTTTATCTTCTTTGAGCTGCCCTTTGACACTTTCTGTTTAGCTCTTTTACTTCATCAGTTCTTCCATTTGTGTTAGCTACTCTTTGTTTAAGAGCAAGTTTCAGAATCCCTTCTGACATCCACTTCAGTCTTTTTCTTTTACATTTTCTTTTTGTTTTCTTCATGCCATCTCACAACTCATGTCTCTGGTCATTAGTGTTCAGTGTATCCAATCAGTTGTTGAGATGTTTTCTAAATTCAGTGGAGATACACACAGGTTGTATCCTAGCTATCATGGACTTATTTTCATTATTTTTCCACTTGAACCTGAACTTACGTATGAGCAATTGAGGGTCTGTTCCATTGTCAGTACCTGGCCTTGTTTTGGCTAATGATATTAATTTAAGCTTTTCCATCTTCTCTTCCCACGGATGTATGGAGTTTGACTCCTGTGTGTTCCATCTTACAAGGTCCTCATATATATAGTCACCAGTTACGTGGTTGAGTAAAAACTACTTACAAAGAAGTCATTGCAAACTCTGTCACATCTTCTCCAGCTGCACTTAGATCACTCAGGTCGTATTTCCCATCTCTGCTTCTGCTTCCGTGTTTCTAAGCTCGGCGTGCCAGTCTCCAGTTGTTACCAAAGTATCTTGATTACGGGCTTCAACAGTTTCAGACTGAAGAAACTTGCTTTAGAGATTGGTCTGTACATTTGAATAATAGTCATATTGATTTCCTTGTAGGTGTTTAGATATGATCATATCAGAGACAGCATTGTACTTTAAGAAAGATCTTGAAATGTTCTTCTTGATGATAACTAGACAACATTCTTCTGAATTTTTCATTTCTGACACAGTAAACCATATGTTATGACTCAAACTTCCCATATGAGTCCATTTCAGTGCCCTAATGCCTAGAACATGGAACATGGATCTTTGTGCGTTCCATTTCAATTTTTATGACTTCCAATTTTCATAGATTCATACATATTTTGATTCCATGTTCTGAATATTAATCAATGTTTATAGCTGTTTTGAATCATGCCCCAATCAGCAATTGAGGGTCTTGAAAGCTTTACTCTAGCCACGTCATTAAAGTCCATTGTCCTTTGAGGAGGCAGCTCTTCATCAGTCGTAGTTTTAGTGCCTTCTAACCTGCGGCTCATCTCCCAGGCCTATATTGGAAAATGTGCTGCTGCTATTCTTAAGTTTTTCCATGAGTAATTCCTCAGGAGTGGATGGCCTGTTCTTCTTCCCAGTCTTTTCTTAGTCTGGAAGTTCAACAGAAACCTGTTTACCTAGGGTAATTGATATACTAATGACATAGTTTCCAACATCATAACAACATGCAAGCCACCACAGTACGGCAGGCAAACTGATAGACAGGTGGTGGAACGATGCTTGAAAGTAGGTATTTGGACAAAGATAAAGATGTATGGTAAAAGTGAAAATCATTTTATTAGTATAGTAGGCTAAGGGTGATTCTTTAATACTTTATTTTCTATTACATGTGTTTCTCTATAATAAAAGAGGACGGCAGTATCCTTTGGCTGTGGTGATGTGATGGCCCTGGAAGGAGCTTGGAGAAGTTAATGTTCTGTTCCACATTCCCGACTGTTTATCCACCCACCGCCTTGTTTCTTTTCCTATAGGGCCACGTGAAACTTTCCGACTTTGGCCTTTGCACAGGACTGAAAAAAGCACATAGGACAGAATTTTATAGGAATCTGAACCACAGCCTCCCCAGCGATTTCAGTAAGTGTTAACACTGATGTTGGCCTTTTTGTCCTTTCAAGTGGCCTAGAATTGTTGTTCCCCTGGTAACCAAATTAAGCAAGAGTCTCTCAGCGTGGGCCTTTAGAGAATGAACAAACCTACCCACGTGTAGTGGACTTGAGTTGTCTGGGAGGCAAGATGAATGCTGGAAAGGGGTCACCCAATAAGCTTGATTTGGAGCTGGGCTGGGAAGGCTGCTGGGGATGAACACAGGGCGAGCACAGGTAGGGGGAAAGTCCTGGCAACAACTCCAGGCTCCACTTAGCAGAGCTGCCCCTCTCTGTCTCTGACTTGAGCACTGTCAAACCCTGGAAACCGGGTAGTAAAGCCCGTGCCACCATGTCTCCTAAAAGCAGCAGTCCCGGGATCTGACAGTGGCTCTGGGAAGTTGTGAGTGTCTCAGTCAACTCGGAGACCTTTGCTTCCGACATAGACAGAATTCCGTATAATTCTGATTAAGACCTGCCACGTCTGGCTCTGTGGCTCAGTGGGAGGTGCTGTTTAGTTAGAACGCTCCTGTGTGATTCTTGGCATGAAAGCTTCGAGTCTCTGATGTGGGCTTGCAGACTTGCTAGGAAACGTGCCCTGGAGTTTCTGAGGTATGGGCACCAAGCAGAGCCTGGCCCATCAGACACTCCTGCCTGAACTGGGGTTGAGACTTGTTTGCTCTGCTTTTAGCGTTCCAGAACATGAACTCCAAGAGAAAAGCAGAAACCTGGAAAAGGAACAGACGTCAGCTGGTAAGTAATACCTGGGGCTTCGAAAATGCAAGAAACCAAGTATGGATGCATTTTAAAGATATTTATGTTGATTAGCCCTGGTTCAACATTTGCAGCCAACCCCTTCCTTGGACAGGACTCGTAGAGCGCGGTCATACTTTGATGGTTACACCAGCAGGAAGTTTGGAGGAGGGCAGATAGGAGTAAATTGCCGTAGTTGTGAGTTTTTAGTAGATAACTCCATTCTGACCTTTGACGTTGGTGACAACCTCTTTCCTGTTGTACCCTTTATTTTATTTCATTGTTATGAAGTTGGAAGACTCAAATGGAGCTAAGGGCGAATACCTACTTGGAGCTGCTTTTGGGGTGGGGTGGGTGTGGGAGGCAGGTCTCAAACTTGGACAGTTTGGTCCCTTAAGAAATATTGACTCCTCCTGGCTGTGCTCTTTTGTAGTAGAAAGAAGAAATCGGGTAAAAATGGGAGTGAAATAGAAAGGAAATGCTTGTTACTTACTTTATAAGTGTTTGAGAGCATACATATAGAATTATTCCCCACAAGCTTAAAAATAAGTACTTTGATTGGATTTGCTGTGATAGTACACTAGGTGTTTTAAAATTTTTTTATTTTAATAAATCATTTTATCGGAGGCTCTTACTGCTCCATACATCATACATACGCCATACATCAATTGTATCAAGTACATTTGTACATATGTTGCCATCAGGTATTTTGTTGTTGCTTTTTAAGAAGTATGAATTGACCAGTAAATTATCAGCAAGTAGGCACACTTTTTATTCTTAACAGTAGTGGATTAGCTGAGTCATATTTGAAGTACAGCGTACATTTCCTTTTCCTGAGACCCAGTTTTTGGAAAATGACTGACTGCCTACGGGCAGTTGACGTGTGTCATTGCATACTTAGGCTCTCCAGAAGCCCAGAGCAAGTGAAGTGGAGGGTACAACTAGACTTCACAGCCAGCAGTGAGGAAGCAGCTTGGCAGTGGGGGAGCGCTGTGGTGGAGGCAGTCCCTCGTCATGCCCAGATGAAGTGTGGCCTGTGTCTGCACATGCAGTGACCTGGCAGGCTTGCCAGGTAGTGAGTCTCAGCCAGACCCCTATAAAAGACCGGATTAGAGTTATGTCTAACCTAGAGTAGCTCATTAATTTGCGTTTACTGTCTCAAAACCAAGCATCGTTAGTAACTCCCATCGCAGATGGTTGTGAGGGGAGGCCTGTGGGATTATCTAAGAAAGAAAGGCAGATAAAGAAAGACATTTTTTTGTATTTTCTTTGAGGCTCATCATGCTTGCGAGTATTCGAATTTTTACGCTAGACCTGGGCATTGGGAAATACATCACCATAAAGCAAACCCCTTTGGAAAATGCAGCAACCAAAATGAATCTTTGATGTATTTTCCAAAACTAACTTGGGGTCCTCTGGTGTGGTACAGTTTTGTAGTCCCAGCAGTGTCCTCTCCTTAGGAACTCTGGTCCTTTTTCTTTTTTTTAATTTTTATTGTGGATTCCTAATGTCAACCTAAATTCATACATTCATTATATGGATTTGGTTCTTGTTTGCGTTTTAAAAAAATGATGATATTGGGGCTTATACAACTCATGTCACCATCCATACATACATCCATTGGGTCGAGCACATTTGTACATTTGTTGCGATCATCATTCTCAAAACATTTGCTTTCTACTTGAGCCCTTGTTATCAGCTCCTCATTTTCTCCCTTCCTCCCCACCCCCACTCCCTCACGAACCCTTGATAATTTATAAATTATTGTTATTTTGTCATGTCTTACACTGTCCAACGTCTCCCTTCACCCGCTTTTCTGTTGTCCGTCCCTCAGGGCGGGGGTTGTATGTAGATCCTTGTGATCGGTCCCCTCTGGTCCTCTTTAAACTTCTAGATCTGTGTGTGTTGGCACCACGCTAGGGATGGTCAGGAGGGAATTTGGTCACCTGCTTCTAGTGTGAGGGGGGGGGCTTCAAGAAGTTCCTGGAAAGATGGAATGAGAAGCGACTAGAATATTTCGATGGACTTTTTTAAAGGCCCCTAGTATATCTATCTCCTCATAAAGCAGTAGTTCTTAACCTTGGTTTTGCATGAGACTCACCCAGGGGAGACTTAAAACATTATATATATATATATATATATATTAAATGTATATATGTGAATGATCATCTGGGTCCCTCTTCTAGAGACTCTCATCCAGTGGGTAGAACGTGGACATCTGACTCTTGAACATGTTCTGGGTGATTCCTCTGTATAATCAAAGTTGGGACCCTCCACTGAGGAGATGGTTCTGTAAACAACAGCTCTTCCCTTGGTGGAAAATGGATCCTTATCTGTGTATGTTTTGAAGGGAACGAGTAGTAGAGAATCTTTTGTGAATTGCTTGTCGTGTTAAGCTGCCCAGGCTGAACCTTGGTTCCTGTGCTGCCATGTATTTGCCATGTATTTGGCATTAAGCCTAAGTGCCGCCAGCTGTCCTTGTAGCCTGAGACAGGCAAGTGTGCTTTTGGACTTGCCCCAAAGGGGCGTGGCCAACTTCCCGAGAAACACCTGCAGGCCTTCGAGGAACGAGATGTCACCGTTTCCAGGTGAATGGAGGTAGATGTGCTTTAATAATTTAAAAAGGTTTTTTAAGAGAAAAATCTGAATAAGATAAGGCCCTCATGCTGCAGTTATGGTCCATCCTTATTACCTTTTTACCTTTTACCCAGTAGAAATGGAATGGTACTTAATTTAGGCTGTTGTCATATCACTTGCTTTGGTAAAACTTGAAGAAAATAATGCCACCTCCCAGTCTTCAAAACTGTGTTCCCTTGGCCTTTTGTAAGTGATCCCATTCAGCAGGTACTAAGATGAAGGTTGACAGTAGTCACTGCTTAATAGAAGAAGTTTGCCGCCCTCAGTTAAGCCCTAACATATGTGTTTGTTCAGCCAGCATATTACTCTTCACTCTGTTGCGACTCATTGGCAGAAATAAGGACGTTAGCTTTCTTCCTTGGCTGCTTAAATGATATTGTAATGTTTTAAATAGTGACTGTAATGTTTTAAACAGTTGGGTGGACCTGAATAGCCTTAAAAAGGCAAACACTACACCCACTGTCATCAAGTCAGTTCCAAATCATTTAAAGTAGTAAGCAGAGGTAAGTCATTAAAGTTATTAAGGAGGGCCAGTAGTGGCGCAATGGCTAGAGTGCTCGGCAGCGAATGGGCACTTGGTGATTGGAGCTCCCTGGCCCTTTCTGGCTCTGGAGTTAGTCTGCCCGTGCTATTGATTTCACTCCGTGAGTCTTGGCGTTTTCATGCCTTAATGTCTTGAAGGAACTCTTTTCCTGTGGAGATTAATCTCTGATTTTATAATAGAAGATTTACTTAACACTCAGCTTTGTTGGAATAAATCTTGTCTCTAAACAGAAGGGGGTCTGCAATTGCTAACAGTTATATGGTTAGAGTAAGAGTACTTCTTTGTTTCAGACATTAAAACGTTCAAGAAAGGGGAGGAGGAAGGAAGAAGGGAGGGAGAGGGGAAAAAAGGAAAATGAGGTGATTCCGGGAACCCAAGAGGAAAGCAAATTTTGGGAATAATGAGGGCAACAAATGTATAGATGTGCTTTACACAATTGATCTATGTATTGTGATGAATTGAATGAGCCCCAAGAAATTGATTAAAAAAAAAAAAACTTTCAAGAAAAAAATCTGATATTTATGTTGTGTTATATTTGTGTCTAAAATAAAACAATGTACAGCTACCTTGAATGGAGGGGAGGATGGATTTCTACCTTATAGTATACACAAAAAAATATGTTCTAGGTGGAAAATAAAATTTTTTTTAAATTGAAAAGAAAACAAAGGGCAATATCTTTTATGACCTCCAAGTAAGGGAAAACTTCTGAAAGTAAGATAACAAAAAGTAGAAACCATCGAAGAGGTAGGAAATAAAAACAAAAATTTATTTACTTTGCTACTTTAAAGAAAAACCAACAAAAAACATCTGCTTATCAAAAAGATAGCAGCGAAATGTACAGACAGTCAGAGGGCAGACAGATCTGCTTTGGAATCACTGTTCTGCATTCAGGGGCAAGCCACTGCCCTGTGGGTATGTCCCTGGTCACGTGCCCTTGGGGAGCTTCCCCAGCAGATACGTGTGCGTCCCTCCGCTGCAGCGTTTATATTGCCAAACACATGGAAATACCCGTGTCCATCAGCAGGAGAGTGGTTACACGGTGGACCTAATTCCTCCACAGCTGGGAGAGACAACCGAACTTCAGACACATGTGGCATCATGGGTCACATGTAGAAACACAATGTTGAAGGAAAAAATAAAATAGAAAACTGGTACCATTTTTATAAAGTTTACAGTAAAGCCAAATTAAAAGATCATTTCAAGAGCCACGTTGGCACAATTACACTGCATTTGGAAAGCGGGTGATAAAGGTGAAACTCCACCCCGAGGCTTGGAGCAGCAGCAGAAGGGTCCTGGCTTCGATGGCTCTGGGAGTATTTCGGTTCTTCGTTTTGGAATCCCAGGCATTCCTTTTATACTACATAATTCCGTGAGTTACACAGGCTTTCATACGTCATTCAAAGAATCCTAATGGAATGGTAAGCCTCAGTCTGGACGGAGATACTCAGTAATCTATGCTACTGTAAAAGATGAGTATTCTGAACTCAAAGAATTTCTCCAAATCAAAATAACAATACACCTGAAAATTTCCTGGGCACAGGGCCCTGAGCAGGAATTCACAGTCAACAAACCTGACTGGCTAATGAACATAAACCTAGAAATAAGCGACTGCAGATTCCCACAGCTTGGAGATCACGTTTCATATTCATCAGATGGGTAAAAAATTAAAATCTGATAAAAGCAAATGGCAAGATGTGGTGCATTAGGAGGTAACCCCCACCACTAGGGCAACTCCTTAAAACCACTTTGGAGGACAACTGGGGACACATGGTTAGGTTGAAGATGTTTTGTGCCATCCTGCTCCCCAAGAGATATTACAGGAATGTGTTTGGGAAACAGTGCCAGTGTTTATTTACAGGAGAATATGGGTAAAGAGATGTGACTTCCTCATTAACAGAATAGGCAGTGGCAGATCAACCTCCAAATTATAGCACTGTAGAAAAGGTAATATATGACGTATGGGCATAATCATACAAGACCATGGGAGCGTGTTCCTGTATGGGGAAGGATGAGGGGGATCATGTGGGGCAGAGTCTTAGTTGTGTCTGTGGTTTAGATTTAAAGCAAACAAACAAACCAAGCATAAGCAAATACCGTAAATTGTTGACTTCTCTGATCTGGGTGGTGGTATATGTGTATTTATTATCTTTGGTTTTTATCCCGACATGTTTGTACTATTACATATAATTGAGAAGATAGATGACACAGTCCTAATTTTTAGTTTAAAACATATAGCATTTAAAGCACTGTACACCTAGTAAAACCCCAAATGTCCAGCCAATTAGAAAGCTTGGGCCGCACAGCCTCCTAGTATTCTGTCGCCCTGACCTGTGAGAGTAGACTCTTCAAGTTTAGAAAATGTTTGTCTCACAATTCTTGATATAGGTGAATTTGGCAGAGAGACTTAGAAACCTTTGATATCTAGGATGTAACTTTTTAATAAAGCTTCCCTTTATAATTGCCTACTATGTAGCAAACATAACAGAAAGGCAGGGCTTATTTGGAGCAAGATAGTTAATTTCCAAACTTGGCTTTGACATGTTACTAGTTCTGAGGCGGTGGGCAAATCCTGTAGCCATGTGAACGTCAGACTTGGCTGATAAGATTAAATAGAGGCAGACGCATATTTCCCAGTGCTCAGTAATGACAGTAGTTTCCTGGTTGTCAGAGTCTGAGGTCCTGGCGGCGTAGTGTTCATTCCTTGGGTGCTAACCACAAGGTTAGCCAGGCTTTCTCCATCCGGAAGAGTCACAGTCTCAGGACCCCAAGGGACAGCTACTCCCTGCCCCACAGGGGCTTGCTGTGAGTTGGCATCCACTCGATGGCAGTGAGGGTTTAACATTTTTTTTTCAGTTGTTAGAGATACCCTTGACCTCGTGACTGATGGGCTTCAATTGGACTTAGGCAGAACCTAAGTAATACACTTTTACTGTTCCAGCTGGAAAAGAAAAGCCCTCTGGCCAATCAGGTTTGGCACTAGCTAGTGGGAAGCCTGCTCATTGAGGATGGGGATAGCCCCGGCCGGCCCTGTAGCCTCTGCTCTCTAGGATGGCTCTCTGGGCCACCCACCCCTGACGTGTGCTCCGTGTTTCAGGCCTTCTCCACAGTAGGCACTCCTGACTACATTGCTCCCGAGGTGTTCATGCAGACCGGGTACAACAAGCTCTGCGACTGGTGGTCGCTGGGGGTGATCATGTACGAGATGCTTATTGGTAAGTCGCATGCTTTTAGGGGACTCGTTCTGTGCAGCTAGGGAAGGACCCCTAAGTTGACAGTTAGAATCAGCACTTTTGTTTCCCTTCTCTGTCAGAGTGGTTTCCGAGAGAGACAACTCCTGCAGTCACGTGTCCCCGATGAGGTCTCGGGCTCACAGGCATCCTGACTGACTGCTTTGCTCGTCAGTGATCATGTTTCTCTCCGCTTTCTCGTCCTCTCCATCTAGCACTTCTCCCAGGCACTGTCCTTTGTGAAGCACTGCACTGTGCCGACGACCGTTAACTGGGCATTGCCTCCCTCAGTCTTCACTCCTTTTTCCATCCGCTTCCTCTGTCAGAGCCTTCAAAGCATGCAGCCCTCTAAGCATTGCCCATCTTGTTTGAATGGGGTGCCTTTGTATTTAGGGGACATTCGTGTTGGGGTGGCCGTTTGCCTGTGAGCACTTGGATGGTAAAGGGGCCGTGGTGCTATAGGGCCTACACATTGGGCTGTGTGAGACCACGGTTTGAAACCACCAGATGCCCCGTGGGAGAAAGAGAGGCTTTCTACTCCTGTAGTGCAACACCTCCTGAAAGCCACAGAGGTAGTGTTACTCTGCCCTGTAGGGTTGCTATGCGTTGGAATTGACTTGACCGTGAGTTTGGTGTTTGGGCTTGACTTGGGTGATGCCTATAACCGTGATAGTGCTGAGTGAGTCTTTGCAGATGACCGGGGTGGTAGCTGGCTGTGTTACCTTTGGGAACACTGGAGTGGACAACCCCGAGTGGAAGGCAGATGGGCAGTACTGTATGTTAGTGCATGGCCTCCTGCCGAGAATGCTCAAAAAGAGCCATGGTGCTCGTTGTCAGAGCCCATGCTTCCTTGTGACTCAACTTGTTTGGCACTTTGCCCGTACAAGGATCCCTCTGGATGGAGTCTTACCGATACGGTGACATCCTTTCATTTCTGGACTTCCTTCACCTGCAACGCTGCCCCTGCCCTCCTTCCCCTTCCCAGCCCTAGCTATGAGCACACTCCTGTAGCAGAGACATGCTTGGGGTCTAGGGCTGTTGGGGAATGCGAGGTTGGTCGAGATGTTCTCTGGGGTAAATAGAAGCCCTGTCCACAGCCATGGAAGGAAGGCCCTATAGAAGTCCAGTGGTCATGAAAGAGATTTCAAATTGTATTAGGAGGAGAATCTTCAGCATTCAAAGTTCTGGGGTCGAAAAGCTCCGAAGTTCCTTCTTTTATTACAGGCTACCCACCTTTCTGCTCCGAGACCCCTCAGGAGACCTATAAGAAGGTGATGAACTGGAAAGAAACTCTGAGTTTCCCCCCAGAAGTTCCCATCTCTGAGAAAGCCAAGGATCTAATTTTGAGGTATCAGCCTCAAAAAATTGCCCCCCTCCTCCAGCTTTGTAACTTGAATCTTTTTCCTGTTTTAACTTGCAGTATCTTTTGAATCTGTCTTCTCCTTCCTCCTATTCCCCTACTCCCCCAAACAAAACTGTAAACAAAGCCTGTTGTTGTGGGATGGGCTCACCCCAGGCAGCCCTGCACAGAACTAGCTGCCCCCAGGCTCCAGGACTGCCCGGCTTCACAAACGTAGACTGCCACCGGCTCTCCTCGGAGCAGCTGACCTTCTGGTGGCGCCGAGCGCTTCCTTACTGTGCCCGAGCGCTTCCTTACTGTGCCGTCAGGGCTCCTCCCTCCTTTTAGAGGGGGGTACTCTTCTTTCTGTTTTGTTTTCTAAAGAGATTGCTTGACATTTGCTAAAAGACCTCTGTCTTTTCCAGATTCTGCTGTGAGTGGGAACATAGAATCGGAGCCCCTGGAGTTGAGGAAATCAAAAGTAACTCTTTTTTTGAAGGTGTTGACTGGGAACATATCAGGTATTTGCATAGAAGAGCTCGTAGGATTCCTTCAGGTCTGTGGTTTGGTTCACATTAATTTGGAAGCACTGTTTCTGCCAGTCCAAGAAAGGGAGGAGAACTTCTTAGAGATCCTAGGTCTCTTCCTGGTTCCAGTCACACTCAACTCGGTGGCAGCGGGCTTGGCGTTTGGTGTTGGCCGTGATCACATCCATGCTCGGGGCTGGCTGTTGGGCTCCTGCCAGCCGTGGGGGCTGGCTGTTGGGCTCCTGCCAGCCGTGTGCCCTGGCGTCTGTTGCAGGCAGCAGCGCTTTACAAAGGTGACTGGCTCTCACAGAGAAGGAAGCGCCTCAGAAGGGCACTTCTCTCTCACGGAGGGCCACAGTGGGGCTGGGCGTTGGGAGATGGCGAAGGAAGAATAAGGAAGCGGAGGAAGGGTTGGCTTGGGAGTGGTGTAGAGGGGACTAGAGACGGAGAGGAGAGACGTGGAGAGAGACCATTCGTTGTCATGGTCGTGGTGGTGTTTTGCCCACGGCAGTGAGAGTCTGTGGGGGACCAGCCCTTCTCATTCCGCGTCCAGCATTGGTTGGTTGTGAAGTGGAAGATGAAGTTATTTATTTCATAACCGGTTCTGATCTGCAGCCTTGTGATTCGTATCTTTGTGCCCTTGTTGCTGCTTTGTAACCACAAGTCAGCGGACGGGCAGAGCCATAGACCATGGGTCACTTAGAGGGCCGCTTTCTTTCAGCCGACAGGGGCGGCAGTCATGGAAGCCTAGTGGCTCTGGGCTTTAGCTTCCCAATGGTATCCCTGTCTGTGTTCCTACCTGTGAATGATGGGAGTTACTTATATTTTTGAATTTTTGTTTGTGCATAGTCACTTGCCTGCCTTATCAGGGCCACAAGCTTTTCAGAGAAAAGAAACACTCCCCCTGGGGACCAGCCTTTCCCTGTCAGATGAGAATCTGTTTCAGCGACTTGACCAGTCTGGACCCCACCAGCCATGGTAACTTTCGGCATGTCTGTTCTTGGCAGAGAAAGACCTGCTGCAATATCGATTGAAATCAAAAGCATTGACGATACTTCAAACTTCGATGAGTTTCCAGAATCTGATATTCTGAAGCCAACAGGTAATATAGCCCCAGCAACACGCCTTCTGCTGCCTGAGAAACACACGATCCCCCATTGGGGGCGCTGTGTACAGATCAGGGTAGAGAGCAATGGAGAGGAGCTTCATGTCTTCAGTCTTTGTAAGTGTGTTCACAGTAGCACCGAGACCTTGGTGAGGGAAAGTGAATAAAAACTCGATCTTGTTGAGACTGCTCAGCAGAGCAGGTAAGTCCGAAAGATAATTTTGTTGTTATTTATGAATGAAAGCTTAGGTATCTCAAAATGTCATCTCAAAATGACAGGAAAGGGAACCTAAAACTTAAAAATGTGCATTTGTGAAGAAATATAAAGTTCAAGCAACATAGGCAAGGCCATTGCATTAAAAGTAAAAAAAATAGAACATCTCAAAAGTGAAACATGTCCCCCCAGCTAGCAAAGCTAGGGCGCAGGCTGCAGAGGGAGGCGCCTGCAGTGCTTACCAGTGGGGTAAGGCGGGGAACCAACGCACATCTGTTTCCTTCTCAGCAACCACGAGCAGCCACCCCGAGACTGACTACAAGAACAAAGACTGGGTCTTCGTCAATTACACCTACAAGCGCTTTGAAGGCCTGACGGCTCGCGGGGCAATACCATCCTACATGAAAGCTCCCAAATAGCCGCCTCGGCATGCCATCCAGCCCAAGCAGAGGCCTTCGTACGACGTCACCGCTCCCCTTCGACGTGAACACCCCTTTGAAAGAGCTTCCCAGAAGTTGTGTGGACCGCGCTGGTTGTCCATCAAGTCTGCTGACAGGTGTCTGTAAGTGGACCCTCTTCCTACGAGGCGTCTGGAAACATCCAGGACAAATCCGACGGTTCCTGCCCACCTGCCAAACAAGCTCTCCTGCTTCTGGGGGAGCCTCATGAGCCCACTCGCCACAGGTCCACGGCAGGACAAGAACCGAACTGGCGTGTCTCGGAGTCTGTCCGGTGAAGGGGAAATGGCCATCTCCCAGCGTGACTGGGATGGTGAGGGATGCGTACACACCAAGTATAGCCACTTCCTTTGGTTGGTGACATGTTATGTGCCAAGCCCACCAAGTATTTTTAATATATATATGAGATAGCTCAAGTCCCATCGTACTGTGGAAATAAAGCAATAATGAAAGCCTTCTCGGCCAGCATTCTGGCTGAAGGAAGGACCCTCTCCCTCCTCAAAATCCACTGAGGGGGTGGCGTGTGGGAGGGGGAGTTATGGCCCCATACCTCGGCCTCAAGACGAGTGGCTCTTTTTATAGCCTCTATTCATGGTGCACTTTATTTATGGTACTACGATAAAGACCCTCAATCCACTCATTTATCTGCCCCCAAAAATACTACTGCTGTCCCTCTGAATGTTGATGGAGGGAGACCAGCTTGAGCCCTGGTTGCTCTCAAAGGCCCAGAAGGCCACTGGGTATTGCCAAGGCGTCCTGGAGCAGGTGGAGAACTGTAAGGACTTAACGGCTGCATCAGAAAGCCCCCAGGGGCTGGGCGGTGGGTGGTGACTGGACCAGAAGTCCCTGCTTGTGCTGCCAAGAACTCACT